GCCCCCTGCCAGTACTACCGACTAAAGGCTCTGTTTGTTATTGCTTTGAAGGAAAAGAAGCAAAGCATGCACGGCGTGCTGCAGCAGCAGCAGCTGCGGGTGTATGCCATTGTGGGGGGCCGGGTGTACAGACAGCCCCCGCTGCGCGACGTGCTGCTGCAGCGGCTGGCAGAAGCACTTTCGGACTTGTCCATTTGTGCAGATTTGCTGCTGCTGCAGCTTTGCTGCTGGACCCTCCCCTGCGGCTTCTCCTGGAGGGCCCCCCTCTCCCGCAAGAGGCTCCTCATGGCCCAAGCAGCAGCAAACAAGTACTGCGCAGAGCTCCACCAGCAGCAGCAGCAGCAGCAGCAGCAGCAGGGGGAGCAGATGGACAGCGAGGACGCAGCTGCCGCCAGCAGCCCCAGCAACAGCAGCAGCAGCAGCAGCAGCAGCAGCAGCAGCACTAGCAGCAACGCCAGCAGCAATAGCAGCAAAAGCAGCAGCAGCAGCAGCAGAGTGAAGGTTGTGTATCGGAGGCCTCTTTGTGCTGCTGCTGCTCGAGTTCTCGAAGAAGAAAGAAAGCGGCTGACTGCTGAGGCGCAGAAACACGAGGTGTGTCTTTTCATTTAATTTAATTAATTTAATTTAATTGCTTCAATTTAATTTATTTATTTGCTTTAACTCATTTGCTGCTTTTTGTTTGGCTGCATTTACTTGCTTGCCGCTTTTTATTTGTATCTTTTTATACATCTTTTGTTGTCTTTGGGGGTAAGATTTCTTTATTGCTGCTAATTGCTGCTGCTGCTGTGCTGCTGCTGCTGCTGCGCTTGCAGGCACAGCGCGTGGCCCTGACGCGGCAGTGGGGAGAAGCAACAGCAGCAGCAGCAGCAGAGGCAGCGCAACTACAGCAGCAGCAGCAGGCCGTCAGCAAACTCAGGTCGCTGCTGCTGCAGGCAGCACCGAACCCTCACGAGGCTGCTGCGCTGCTGCAGCAGCTAAAGATCACAGCCGACTCCCAGTAGCCGCAGCAGCAGAAAATGCAGCAGCAGCAGCAAGTGTTGCAGCCGCATCAGCAAATGCAGTAGCATGAGTAGCAGCATAGGCAGCAGCAGCAGCAGCAGCAAAGGCAGCACAACCTCACTGGCAGCAGCAGCTGCTGCACACGAGCCCACAAGACATGCAGGGCCTATTCAGAAACATTAACAGCGCAGGCAGCTGCAGCAGCAGCAGCAGCAAGGACTACAGAGTGTGCCTCAAGGCCTGCTAGAGCTGCTGCTGCTGCAGCTAGCTGTACTGCAGCGGCGGCAGCTACAGCTGCTGCAGAAC